TCGTAGTTCCTAACTTAACCCATCTTCTTTTGTATATCAATTTAATACTTAACACTGGTTAATCTTCCTTCCTCAACATCGATAATTATGACAATGTAACTCTCTCTCTCTCTCTCTCTCTCTCTCTATATATATATATATATATGTAGACACACACATGCCATTGTTGCTTCGCATTGAAAATCCATTGTGTTCTTTTAGCGTATAAGGGTACTTGTTTTGAGGAGTTGTGTGGTTAGACAAACCCTAATTTAATTAGGGTTGTATTATATATATATATATATTGAGGATCTTGGAGTATCGGAGAAATGAGTTGCAGCGGTTGTCGTGTTCTGCGAAAACGATGCAGCGACGAGTGCATGCTCCGGCATTGCTTTCAGGGGATCCAAGGCCCTCAAGCCCAAGCCCACGCCACCGTCTTCCTCGCCAAGTTCTTCGGCCGTGCCCGCCTCATGTCTTTCGTCTCCGCCGTTTCCTCCTCCCAAAGACCCCGTCAGCTCTCTCTCTCTCTCGCCCTCCTCCTCCTTCTTATAATATGTGTGTGTGTGTGCCTGTGTGCTGCGTGCCCCTCAATTTATATCTATCTATATATATATATATATATAGAAGTTATCTGTAGAGATGATATAGCTATCACAAATTAACTGTATAGTATAAACGATTTGATTTGAACGAGAGTCAGTCTGTTATACTCTCTGAAGATAAGTGTGCGTGATGATAAAGAAAAGTTATTCTTGAGAGGTGAGGTTTTCTTGCGAAACAGGTGAGTTAACTTGGGAATAATTGACCGATAAAAGACTAGAAATAAATACCACTATTTTGTATGTTTGATTTTGATGGTTTTGGTGATGGCAGATTTGTTTCAGTCGTTGTTGTTTGAAGCGCTGGGACGTACCCTAAACCCAGTGAATGGAGCAGTGGGGCTTCTCTGGTCCGGGAATTGGCATCTCTGCCAGCTGGCGGTGGAGACGGTGCTCCGTGGCGGCCCGTTGACCCCACTACTCCCTCCGGATTTCTCCATTTTTGGTGGCTGCAGCGGAGGTTCAGTAGTTCCGGCGGAAGATGAGAGTTTCGGGTCGGCCATGAATAGTTCTACCGATCAGAGGGAGCACATGAAAGGTGAAAGGTCATCAGTGATGTTAAAGAGAAAGGTAACGAGTGATTCTAATATGGACGACAGGGAGAATTTTCAAGCACGTGGTCAGAAGATGCTGGAGAGGGCGAAGAAGCAGCGAGCGGGGACGCCGTCCACGGAGGAGTATGAAACGACCTCGTTTGGGACTAGTAGCCTACAGGGCAGTGCCGAAAGGAGACTCCTAAGACTATTCTACTGATAATAAAATTCCATGGAACATGAAGCCATTGGAACATTTCCAACCAGCCTCTTCCATTCACAAGCTCAGCATTATCACTGCCTCTATCCCTCAAGGAACTGTTTTCAGGATGTTCTTAATACTACTTTCGGTCCTAAATGGTCCTAAACATAAGAACTAGTTAATTCATTTGACTAGATTAAGAAAATAAGTTAAGTTAGTTATTTGTTATAAATATGTGTTGTCTTTCCTAAAATATCTTTACCAATCAAGTTTATGGGTTAGAACTACTATTATTAGAAGGACTACTTGAGAAAGATTAGATAAATATGAGAGATAAAATATATTGGGGTCTTATACTTAGGATAAAAATAAACAACAAAGTTTTATATTAAGAACCAGAGGTAACATATATAAAAAGCTTTTACCGTAATTTCTATTAATATTAGTACTTTCGATTCTTTTCCTGATTTAGATTTATGCTCTTTTACGAACCTTGTATTAAAAACTGTTACCTTTAATCTTAGTAATTTTGTCTTTTATTAAAAAAATAAAGCCATTGGAACATAAAATAGCGTCTCTCTCGCTCTCTCTACAGTCTACACACACAAAACTAGTCAGTCTTGGTGAGTGTGGTGCTCATCTAAATTTAAAATTTTTAACCAGTAATATTTAAATAAAAAATCATTGGTTGAAAAATCATACAAAAAGAATCTTTATTTTATAATTTGTACATATTAAACTAACAAACCATTAAAAATATGAAAAATAAATCATATGAAATTTGGATAGTCAAATTTATTTGGACGGTACAGATTTAGCGCTGATCAAATTATCAATTGGGTGATAAGCACCCAAATAAATCACATGTCTGTGTGTGGGAGAGAGAGTTTGATTGAGCACCTTTATACGATAAAACGGAATTAAGATCTTTATCTTTAATAATATTTAATGGATTGTATTTTGACAAGGATATAATAGAAAGGGTAATCACAAAAAAACTACGAAAAGTGTGACATATGATTAAGAAAACATTTAACCCATGGTTGATTTGATTTACTATGGAATTTTAAACTTAATTCATAAAAGAATTACCTATGCTTTACCTGGCAAAATCTACCAGTTACAATAACATTGTTTATCTAACTTCTTGTGGGCTGACCTATAGGGATTAGGTCTAGCAGAAGAGGCTGATCTCTCATAACGTAACGAATCAAGATTCAAATCTCTATTGGAAAAGATAATCATATTTAGTGCCTGACAGTGTCATTAGATTGCCTCTAATAAAAAGATACATATGTTTTAGCAAAAAAAAACTTCTTGTGGGCTTGCCACCCATAGTGCGTATTTAATGTTATATTATCTAATTATAAAAAGTATCGAAATCTAATTATAAAAAGAAGAAGAAAAACTATCAAAATCGTTTAACATGAAACCAAGCTTGCTAGTAGTCATGTATGAGTTGTGTTTTGAGAAAATTTCTAGAGACATTATAATTCGTTTGTCACGGATGATCATAACAAAATAGTACAAAACGTCATTCTGGGGAAGGTATTGCTTGAGAGCAGAATTGAATTACTTGACGTGTTCACTGATTTTAAAAGGAAAAAGACAGAAAAATGATACTTTAACTTCAAAATGCCAGAAACGTCTGCTCAATTTGGAAAATCCCATCTTGGTCTTATCAGACCGAATTGGGATTATTTTGTTAAATGAAAAGACAAAACTACCCTTTGTATTATTTGAAAAAAAAGCAGGGGAAGAGAGGCGTGGTTTAACTTGAGAATGCTTGGTTGAAACCGACAGCACAAAGAATGGAAAAGAGAGGAGAAGGGAGTGGAGGAGGAATCTATCGCCGTGGAAGAAGAGAGAAGAGAAGAAGGAAGGACGCGTTCGTGGTGCTGTGGTCACCGTGGAAGAAGAGAAAAGAGAAGAAGGAAGAGCGTGTTGGTGGTGCTGTGGTCATCGTGGAAGAAGAGAAAAGAAAAGAAAGACCGAAGGGATACATTGTGGGAGTCGATTGAAGGGGAAGAAGAGAGAAGAGGAGAATTTTACAACTCCAATGTATGGATTAACAATATCTTTATATATGTTTACAATTTTAGTATCGGTATTCACAACAGCATTTTCAGGATAGAAAAAATATCCCCATTTTACAACATCGGTTAAGCATTTAACAATTTCAGTATAATATTTTAACAACTCGGGTATACCTGTTAACCACTTGGTTTCTTACCTCCCTACACCTTGGTTGGACGGCCTGTTTAAGCATCTGGGGAGAATTTTACAATTCCAGTGTATGGATTTACAACAGTTTTATATATATTTACCACTTCAGTATGTGTATTCACAACAGCATTTTCGAGATAGGAAAAAAAAAAACCCATGTTACAACTTTGGTTAAGCGTTGTACAACTCCAGTCTATGGATCAATATTTCCAATAATGAATAAACCCACCACATCACAACTTCAATAAACCAGACAACAACCCCAAAATAAGTTTTTAACACCTCGATTATAAGTTTTAACAACTATCATAAAAAGAAATGATCATTAATACCAATTTTTAAAACTCAGTTTATATGAAGATCATACTTAAAACATAAAATATAAGGCAAAGAATATCTAACATGAGCAATAAGTAAACTCCTCTTGCAGCTTTTGTCATAGTTAACAACACAGTTAAAGGAAATAACAATTTCAATAAAGGTATTTTTCTAAAACCAGATCCTTGGTGACAGTACTTACGTAATGCCACACATTACCTACTCTGAACCCTCAATGACTTATGCAGAACGCAGGACCATCAAAAACCATAAAACACACCGTTATAGTGATGCTACGAGGATGAAAGAGTCATATGATTTCAAAGAAACACTTACCCTTTCGAATCACCACCTTCTCGTCACTCTCGAGCAGCCTCCGTTGTGCATGTTTCTCTCTTTTCCTTCCTGCCTATCTTCATCTCGTATGCAGCTTAACGCGATGCCCACGTTTTGTATCTAGTGAGGGCAGTTTTATCTTTTCATTTAACAAAATAATCCCAATTTGATCTGATAAGAGCAAAACGAGATTTTCCAAATTGGACGGACATCTCTAGCATTTTGAAGTCAAAGTATATTTTTCGGTCTTTTTCCCGATTTTAAAAGCCGTGTTTATATTATCTTTTGCATGCAGTCAGAGAGGATCTCATCACGATAAACGCGAACCTGTTCTAGTAAAAATGTAATGTCACTATTATAGATAAAAATTGTTAGAAGCAGTTTGATCATTTTTCGTATAAGCATACATATGAATGGAATGCTGTTTTTCAATAACTATTAATTGAGTTATATCCAAGTATTGTTAGACTCGATTAAAATAGCTCTCTTAAATACAATTTTTTGAATCGAACTCGAAATTTCGTAATTAAACCGTCAAAGTCCTGTTTACGAAGACGAATGCCTGATAAAATAGCATGATGTTGCCGTAAAAGAAAGGATTATTCTGCAAAATTCTCAAGAACAGCATCCAACAGCCTTCTAGGTGAAATTCATAGTAGAATATGCTTGTATGATTCGACAACAACGCCTGTTCAAGATTTTGAGATTGGACATCATGCTTGTGCAATCATTTGATCTCCCCGAGAGGCTAGGATTTCACAGTCCACGTATAAAATTGCAGAGAATTATAATCTAGGCCTGAGGTTGCTAAAACTGATAACGACAATAATCAAACAGCAAGGACTGGTGTTCAAGTGAAGGATCTTGGCCACAAATTTACCTAATAAACAAATGGTTAGTTGATTATATACATACACTTGAACCAAGGGAATTGCTTCCAACTACCTAACAAAGAAGCAGAAGGAAAAAAAGGTCACCTTTTTCTTTTTCCTGTGATGATGATATTCATACACAACATATACTACACACGACATTCAACAGGAACATATTAGGTTCCGAAAACAAAAAATGTAAACACAGAAAACCAAAAACCAGCTAAGCTATCAGCTCCATATTCCATTGTCGTTACCTTCTGTGTCATCTTCACCCGTGGGAAATTAAAAAGCTGGTTAGTGTTAGCAGTAAGAGTGAGGAGTCAAGAAAGATCAGTCCTACACACGTGTTGTCAGGTGGCAGCCAGTAGTCCGAACACGACAAAGTTGTATTATATGTGTTCTTAAGGTGCAATCCCTGACCTGTTATTATAATTCATAAACCAGGAAAAAGAAGCTATGAGAATACTTATACTGGATTAATGAGAACCTAAGGCTGCATTGTCATTGCCAAGTATCCTTTTCTTTTGGGATAATGAATATATATATATTATATATTATATATTTTTTAACACGCTGATAGGAGCATTGGGTTTGCTATGGATCAGACATGGATATAAAACACAACATAAACATTACCACAGGATGAGATATAGTATTTAAATACAGTTCAAAATAACTTTCATTTGTAGTCATGTGTGTGTATTAACAAAATTATTAAGCAACTCGGAGTGTGGCAAAATCTGATGATATCTGAGTAAAATCTCATCACAGTGACAAGTTATTTCAAGGAAGGCACTTAGACTTCACTTGCCATTATTTTCAAATTTTTTTGCTTGACAAAGAACTTTATGGATAAAATGATACGAGAATGAATAAGTAATGTTCCATCAAGATTATAAAGCGACAATTATATTACGAAACTAAAACTCCAAAATGACAGTTATTTTGAAATGGAAGGAGCACAATTTGAAACACCATTTCACTAACCAGTGTAGGATACATATTGAACTCAAAAAAGAGCAGGTTTTTATGTCTTGGTGTTTAGATGAGAAAACTTGATAAAGACAGATTACCTGCATAGCTTCTAAAGATGACAAGAAATCCTTGCATTGTTCGAGGAAATGCCTTTGTTTTGCAGTCACCTTTACAAGTTCTGCCATCAGGGAGTTAGTTTCTTCCACCTGCCAGAAGCAGATGACTTTATAAATACCAATACAAGAGATAATATTAGTTTGGCTAAAACAAAACAGTATATTTAATCTAAAGACATCTATTTGTCAAAAAAAGAAAAAGAAAAACTAAAGATCTCTACTCAATTCCATTATAGAGTCTTCTGAAAATGTTCGCTCCTCAACTCCTTTAGAACTAATTGAAGATTCTCAGGATATTACATGGTTTATTACCATATTAGTGAAAAGCAAAACAAAGCTCTTGGTGGCTGCGAAATAAACAACACACAAGCACCAATAATTCTGGCTACTTCTATCAAGACACAAGGGATTGCTCAAGGAACTATACATCAATCATTTTAAAAATAAGATAAGAAAAACATGCATTTTGAACATTCAATATACACTATCTAAAAGGGATGTGGATTCTCTACAGTTATCCAAAAGCTAGAAAAAAAAAACACACACACAATCAGGCATGTTACCCATAATCAATACCTTGTGGACGGGCAATGAAGATGGCTTAGTTACTCGATATGGAAATTTCATAAAAGATAAACGGCATATTAGCAAATTAATTCATTTCTCCTCCTAATAACACTCCACAAAAATCCGAAAAGAGAAACAAACAAAGGCTTGGAGATTTGTAAATGAACAGTTGGAAGGCATTAAAGAATTTTGGGGATTTTGAAAATGTCTTATTCCATTCCTCCTTGTTATATAACTCCCACAGGCCAAAAATCAAATTGGATTCCCTTTCATTCCCTCACTATCTGCCATTCAAGCATGCCAGTGGATTACAACCGAATCAAGCAAAACCTAGCCATAGATATGTGTGTGTGTGTGGGTATTTTTAAAAAAATCAACAAACAACACTTGCTAAAGTATCATATTTACCTAAAAACCAAAAAAAGATATCTCACTATCATGCATATCATACCACGTTTTTATATTTTATCATATCATTCAATCTAATGTCAATATCCTGTAATTATGACAACATTACATGCCATTTCATTTGCCCATCAGCATAACCACTGACCCTTGAAATCGGTCATCTTCTAGGTTATGAATAGTTAGGTTTTAAGAGAAGGCATCCATTTTACTGATGGATCTAAACAATAACGTTAGGTTAGGTCACCCAGGGGAAAAAAGTTTTCGCCACAAGTGACAAATTAATAATGCAACAGCTGAATCAGACATAATAAGTTATTTAATGGACTTGAAATATGTGGGACGGACTTGTCAACAGCTGGTTCCATCATTGATGATCAGCCACTGTGCACTAAAGAAGGTTTGTTTTTCCCGTGTATGCAGTTGTCTAAGACAAAAGCTTACCAACTACGTTATTAATACTACAGCTTGATTTGCTCACTTTGTCTGGGTGAATCAAGCATCCAATGTAATAAACTACATTACAATAACAATAAACCTTTGCCCACTATGTGTAGTGCATTAAGGCTAGTCATTTTCAAAACTGTATGGTGCATATAGGAAACTAGCAAAACACCTATTTGAGCTTCCTGTCTACAAATTCTACAGCAGCAAAGGACGCTCTGAAAATTACCGCAAATCAGGAAATGCCTTGTTAATTTAAAGAAAGAAAGCTGAATTATGACATTTACATGTGCATCTAACTAAACTAGAACCACCAAATGTTCCATGTTTCATATTAAGTAGGCGACTTGACAGTATAGTTAAAGATCAGTTTAGATCAAAACTCCTCAATGCATAACTAATTAATTTTGACAAATTTAACCAAAAAAAAAACAACAACAACGTAACCCTTATTCTACTTGGCGGGGTGACAAACCTAACAGACAACAGCACAAAATCTTTGACTGAATTTAAGATAAATATTTAGCGAAATAAACTTAACGGAACCCCTAACTCTGATATTATTCATGTAGCTGAATTAAAGCTTCCTTTCCTTGAACAGAGGAGAAAGGAAGGCATAAAAGAGATGAAAATGTATCCAACTCCTGGCTTTCAAGAGGCTAGGTATCCTCCACCCTGAATATTCTCTCTCCACTTATGCATCACATGGCAAAAGTGGTATCCCTTGATAGATCCTCTTGTGCCCTTCTTCCGCTACATCACACATAATCTCCTTTTAGGCCTCATTTCTCTTTTCCTTATGTAGACTTAACTCCATTTAGCATCTCTCTGGGCCATTTATTTCTTCATTACATAACTTGGTCTCAAATATCACGGAGTCCATCAAAACTCGACTAACAAGATGAAAAGGTGATAAGGGTTAAGGAGAAGTTAATAGCTGCTAGATCACAAGGTTAATTGTTATATTCTGAAAACAAGTTAAGTGCGATAATGTTTTATATCATAAAAAAACAATTTTAATCAACATTTACAAAAAATTATTATAATGTTCTTGAGATAAAATGAAAGCACGACTGCCTTCATTTGGCTTGATAAATTGGAGGCAATAATCGAACCAACCAATCAACTGAAGCAAGACTTCTAGACAAGTATAACATCTTCAGACTCGGGTACTTTCGTGAGAACTTACATATCTATTTGATTATTGACCCAATCCTATCGTGGATGGTGTAAATAAATTGACTTTCAGGATTTCTGAGTTTCTCATGACTCCTTAACCTAAGTCCCAACTCTAAAACAAAAAAAGGGTACTTACAATACGAAATTTGCTTTGTCATAACCTTATTAACACATCTTATATTGACAATTGATAGAAACACACGCCCTCTACTGGAGGAGCACATTAGGAAGCAAATAAACCAAGATTACCTTTGATGAAAGAGAATAGATTGAGGATGACATTGCTTGCATGACATCAACTGCTGACCCCAAGGCATCCTTCAGATTTGGTACATCGGCCTACAAAGAAAACATTATGTGATTATTGAGAGACAACTTTGAAATGGTGATTAGTGTTTAAAATAAAAGGTAGCGGCACATACTATTGCTTTTTCAATGACAGGAAGACGGAGGGTGCTGGCCTTCAAAGCTTCAGTTGCTCCAACCAAAGAACTGGAGTGATCTCTTTCTAGAAGGGCCCACTCTTCCAAATAAGAAATCTATAAGACCAAGCAAAAAAGCTTCATTTATGATGAACAATAAAGATAATTAACCAGCAGTCTATTGTGATAAAATATCATCAAACACTGTACTTTGTTGTAAGGTGATTAACTAACAGAAACATCAGCTACCATTGCAGCCATTTTCAACAAATCCAATGGTGCAGAAGTATCTTTTAATTTTATCATGTGCATCATTTTTCAAGAGTTACATGCATAAGACAAGGTTGCAATTGCCCAATTGGTCTGGCCACAATCACGCCAAGTCAGGCAGGACAAAAAGAAATACGGAGCGAGGCTAGCACCCAAACAACCCCCCAGCTCAATTCCCTCATTTAAAAAGAAAAAGAAAAAAATTAAGGACACATGAAAATCTTGAGCTTAATATGATTTTACAGATACTCGTGTGAAAATTTTTTCTCAATGGTCATTTCATAATTTTTAACAAAATATTTGTTTAAAAGAAAAAGGCCCAGGCAGCCCAGCATATTGGCGGGCCTGGCTCTGGGCTTCAATTTTGAAACTTGATTTGGGGGAAAAAACGTTAATTACACAGGTAATCATTTAAAACCAAAATCCCAAATCTTACTTGTCCCTTCATGATGGAAGTTAACTTCAATTTTTGCCTCAGCAATAGCAACTTGATTCGTTTAAGTATGACTGCATGCCGTAGTTCTGATGTCGTTACCCACGCATTCCATAAATGCCTCTGATACAATTAAAAAATATAGGCAACTGTACATCAGTACAATTGTTATAAGGGGGGAAAAAAAAATCAGCCATTTTCCATCCAAATATGAATTCACTTTTTAGATGTACAACTACAAACTAGCTGCAGAAAAACAAATTAAAGAGTTACTGCCTCAGTGATAAAAACTTAAGATATTGTCAAAATAAATCAAGCACCAGAAAACCATAAACAAAATCATCAAATGTCATAATGATTTCTGGACATATCAGAAAATGTTAAGTGATCAAACTATGTCATGTCAACATGGTTGTCAAGGACCACTTCAACCAGAAAGTTTAAAATTTTAAGTGAAGTTTCATAATTGGCTTTATTGATATCTATAGCATGCCCTCTCAAATGGAAGCCCTTTGGGTATGAACTGCAAACAAAGCACAAGACCACCATATCTTGTGTCAACTTAAATTTAATGGTAATAGAGGATGAGAGAATGAGAATGACTAGGATGAAACTCCTAACAGCTTGGTCATAGAGGCTCCGATATCATGTCAAAGGACCATTCCAACTTAAATAAGAGTTTGGATACCCCAAAGTAAGGGGAAAGGGGCAAAGTAGAGAGAGATAGAGAATGAGGTAGGCCCAACTTTTTTAGGACTCACATGGCAGAAGTGGGACCGACCACTTTCTCTCTATCCCTCTCTTCTTCACTCTTTTACTCCATAACCTCTTATTTGAGGGGTTCCAGTCTCCCTAAACAAGTCCAAACAGTTAGGTGAACGTCCATGTGCAACTTTATTATACTCTAACTATGGCCAAGAGGTTTGACGCATATCATGATGAACATAACTATTTTTTTGAACCCAATAAAACCCATGACCTAGAAAGCCGGAGATAAGAGTGCTGAATTATCAAATTCTGTATTCTGTTCTGAATAACCATGACAGCCTGGTCCAAGACACCTTGGAATATAGTGCACACAGTAAACCAAGACAACACATTCATGGAAGAATTTTATTGAGGGACCGAATCCACAAATCAATTATTAAGAAGCCCTTAAATTTACCACTCACATAACACAAATTTACAAGTTGAACTACAACAACTTACCATTCATAATTGAAATATATTTTACACTATTTGCCACTCAAGCAACACAAATTTACAGGTGGAACGATGAGTATTTAGCATTAATGATCCTTAGAAATAAAAGATTTGTGAATTTGGTACTTAGGCATAATTTTCCCTCCATTCATATCATAAGGCCTTTTGATGACCGAGTAATCAAAACTTGCCTTTTGAATAGCCTAAATACAGGTACACGGATCAAGGCCAAAATCATACAATACATGAATGCAGATTTTTTCCCTTAAAAAATATATAGAACAAAGGTATGATTAAGTCTATTATTTAGACACTAAAATCACTATTAACAAAATCTAATCATCGTAAACATTGATTTAGCATAAAAAATTCATCGCTACAGAGACATGAAACAGGTATGCTTGCAAAAATGGAGTATTGTTTCTACTTGGTCTTCTCTATGTATGGTGAACCGTGGTCGAAGTCATAGATCTAAAATATAAGGTTCATGACTTGGTGTGCATTGAGAACAGGCTCCAAGAAGGTCCTTCCACTACATTATCGTTTCAAAATTATTGGAAGACTATTCAACAAAGTAAGTTGAATAATATCTGTCTCTGAAAAGCGATCAGAGAAAAAGTCTTTAATCTTTATACAACTACTCACTATAGAAATCATACACATTAGGTCACTGACAATTATTATTTTCGTCACTGCCAACAAAAAAAGCATCAGCACTTGTTCGTGTAGATACTAAGTCCAACTCAACTCCAACTTTAAATAGTAGAAGCAACTGGCGTGTTTTCTAATTCAATGAACCTCATGAATGACCGTCAAATAAGTTTATCACAGCCATAGAAAAACATAGAGAACTCCACTCTTCACTTTCCTCCAATGGATCTACCTTCGTTTGTAAATAAAACAAACCATGCACAGCTAGAAAATAGTGACCATCCAATGTAGTTATCAGAACGAAACGCAGGATTTGTAATACTCTCTAATATTTCACAACCTTGATAATAAATCAACAAATCCTTTATGAGATTAACAATGCTAATTGATCCAAAATCTAGCACAAAAGTACTAAAGCAAGACCTTTAACCATTAACTTAAGGCCAGCCTCTAAAACTACCAGCACAGGTTGACACATAATCACTCTATAGAGCAAGATATCTAACACAAGGTTTATCAATTATAGTTTAACAAGTCATTCTTTTGTAAATCTTATAGAATGATATAACCATGATGACAACCTCCGTAAGTTTAAATTGTTCCAGAGAATAGGACACATATGCAACCATTTTAAGACAGGAAAAAGAATCAATCTGAGATATTTATATCATCACAAGCAACTATAACCTTAGTAAACGAATATAGCTTGACTGAAGCCGTGATGACCATACCTCTGCATTTAGTTTCTGCACCATAAAGGTAGCATCTGCCCTTGCATTGGCAAACCGCCACTGCACATATCGGTTATACAGAATCCGTAACGTGTGTGCATCAAATATTCGATCCTCCCCTATCTTTCCCCTCCGGATATCAACTGAAAAACTAAGAATTGAAGGTGGATTCAAAGAATTACTATTGATGGAGCTGGCAACTGCACTTCTCACCCGTGCTGGACTAGAGATTCCCCTTGATGGTGATGAGACTGTAGATGCCCATAGTTTACTAGGAGAGGCAGGACGCGCAGTTCCTCTGATTGGGGAAGCCATAGTTCGAGGGGATGATAGTGGGCCATCACTAGTGAACTTCTTGGATTGAACAACCTTTGAAGGAGCTGTCATTCTTGAGGCAGGGCTTGTTGATAAGGGTGAACCAGGATCCTGCAAACGGCGCAGCCGACTATTAGTCTCTTGCCAAAACCTCGCAGACACAGCAATGCCACGAGGTCGACCCTTGCCAGCTCCAACACAATCTTGTGCTCCTGAAGTGCTGCCAGAGGAAACGCTGTCTGTATCAGATGCAGTGAGATCAGAAGGCAACGAAGAATCATTTACTGAATTTACATCTGAGCTCTGCTGAGCATCCTTCAATAATTCATCTTTGCCTAAATCCAAACTCAATCCCCCGTCAAAAGATGCCCTTCTACCATCACCAATCATTGATTGCTGCAACGCCCGAACCACTTTTCCAAATCCGTTTCCAACAAGCTTCTTATCACCAATGAAATCCATGCTCCTTGACAAGTGATTGGAACCCGAATTCGACTGCCTGGTCCGAGCCGGCCATCGGTGCTGGTCCATGGGTCTCGAGTTCTCGACTTGATCTCCTCCACCGTCAACCTTACCTCTAACTGCAGGCGACCTCCGCCTCTCTGGCGTTGCAGCCTTCCTGGCATTGCTCGAAGTGGGTGTCGCAGCCTTTGTCTTACTAATCGGAAGTGAAAACGCCTCCCCTTGAAACGAAACCGACAAGCTCCGCGTAGAAGTGACCAGAAGCTTCGTAGCCGCCGATACATCACCGGCATTTCCTTGCCGTAGGACAGGCGTCAAAGGCCTGTTCGGAGTCGCGGGTCGCCTACGGTCCACTGATTGGGACCGTTTGGGCACCGTAGAGGGTACGGGGGTCGATGAGGGTGCGGAATTGATGGAGCGTGAAAGGAGGGGAGAGGGGCATCTCCTAGATGAAGACGACGAAGAGGTTGAAGTGGAAGTAGAAGTCGATGGAGAAGGAGACATGTACCTGGAAGAAACCTGCCTACCCTTGGGTCTTCTTGGAAGAGTCCCATTGTCTTTCTCTGAATGTAAAAGAGGAGGCCTCGATGGGTTTCGGTGGGTCGAGGAAGCCTTGGTGTTCAGCGGGTCAGTTGAAGCTGCTTCAGAAATGGCAGCCACCATTATAAGACTCTGAAATTTCCACACATTGCCTCTAAGATTAAAGGTTTCATTCCCGAGCCCCAGCTTTTCCCATGGCCGATTGTGCTCGCAGGAGATCAAGAAATTTCAGAAAGGGGTCAGCGCAAGATTCAGCATTTCAGGGGAACGAAACAGCTGAAAAGAAGAAAGTAGCGCTGAGTGCGGATTTAAGAGAGAAAGCGAGAGTAGGTAAACGAGATTTGAGAGTGTAGAGTGCTTCACAGGCGAGCTTTCTGGGTTTTGGTTTTTGTGAATCTTTCGAGGGACGTTATGTTAATATAATGACGGTTTATTTCCCGCAAGCACTTGGCTCGCCATTCTCTTCCACATCTCAAAATGTAAATATACGACGACGTACGTAATTATGCAGTTAAGTATTTTTAAGGTTGACCACAAAAAAAATAAAATCTTGTTAAGGTGTCAATTTCTAATTTTTTTATCTACAAAAAATATTTATATTTACTTTTTGGCATGAAAAAAAAAACTATCTTTGTTATTTCCTATAACAGAAATACTAAGTTATCGGTTTGACTTCTTAAAGAATTGCTTATTTGATTCATCACTTTAATTTATTAAATTTCCTGTGATGCTGTTTAAAATATATTTCATCTATTTTTTTTATTAAGTGAATTTATGACGTAAAAACATTCATAAATTTTAAAACCAAATAACAGTGATTATTTCTTAATAACTAAATTGATAGGAGACTTGAAGGTAAATCTTTTAGAGATCTAGGAACATTGGCCATATTATTATTATTATTATTATTATTTTGCCAGCGGCCATGCTATAATAAAATTAAACTTTTACCATACATCTCTCGAATTGCTAAGTATGATTGGAAAAAAAAAATCATTGAACTAAATAAGTAAGCAGAATAATGAAGGAGATTCACTCAATAGCATTAATGTTATACACACTTTTAAAAGACAAGATTATCTAAAATTATCCTAATTTAGGGAAATATGTGGGAGCATCTCTTAATTCACGTATCAATAAAATGGGGTTTTTCATGATTGTCAAACTTACATTTATTATTCATATTTCCACTTCAGGATTGGCACCAAAAATATCAATTACTATTCTTTTTTTTTTTTGGGCATGTATCAATTACTATTCAGTCACATGAATCCACCAACAAACTGTATAATATATATGTGTGTGTGTATATATGAAGAAATGGCGGGATTAAAATAAAATAAAGTTTTGAAGCAGTGGAGATAGCTGTCTGTCTCTGTCAAATAAGATGTTAGTGTGAAATTTATAATTAGAAACATGAGATGTTCCCTACTTTTAGGTGTCTAATTTATAATCAATTCCTTTGTTTTAAAATAAACAAATCATTTTTTACACTTTATGAAACAAAATTTTCTCATGTATTTACTTTGTACAGCGTAAAGATTTTTTTTTAAAAAAATTTAATCCAAATGAGTTATATTATCCTACTCTGAAATGAATACATTTTATAATGATTTTCATAATGCCCCCCTTTTTTTGAAAAAAAGAAGGTGATCTATAGCACGTGAGCTCAAAATTTGTCCTTTGTGTTAGTTAACGTTACCCTAAAACATTTGTCCTGGTGTTATTATTGTCGTTTAATCAAATTATGACTGACTTATTAAAATGTCTGCTGAAATATTTTTTTAATATTAAATTGATAAGCGCACTCTCATATATGTCCAATATATATAAGAGTGTGTTTGAGAGTTTATGAATAAAATCGAAAGTCATTAATGAAATGGAGTGGAGTCGAATGAGATGAAATAGAACGGAAAGTTTAATTGGTTTGGTGTATTCTCAACTATTACA